GAGCTGTAAACGTATGGTGGGGGTGGAGACTTGTACTCTACCTTAGGAGAAGGAGAGTAGTATGGTGGTGGTGGGGAGCTGTAAACGTATGGTGGGGGTGGAGACTTGTACTCTACCTTAGGAGAAGGAGAGTAGTAAGGTGGAGGTGGAGAGCTGTAAACGTATGGTGGGGGTGGAGACTTGTAGTTGACTTTAGGAGAAGGAGAGTAGTACGGTGGTGGTGGGGAGCTGTAAACGTATGGTGGGGGTGGAGATTTGTAGTCGACCTTAGGAGACGGAGAGTAGTATGGTGGTGGTGGGGAGCTGTAAACGTATGGTGGTGGTGGAGACTTGTAGTTGACCTTTGGAGAAGGAGAGTAGTACGGTGGTGGTGGGGAGCTGTAAACGTATGGTGGGGGTGGAGACTTGTAGTCGACCTTAGGAGAAGGAGAGTAGTACAATGGTGGTGGGGAGCTGTAAACGTACGGTGGGGGTGGAGACTTGTACTCTACCTTAGGAGAAGGAGAGTAGTATGGTGGTGGTGGGGAGCTGTAAACGTATGGTGGGGGTGGAGACTTGTACTCTACCTTAGGAGAAGGAGAGTAGTAAGGTGGAGGTGGAGAGCTGTAAACGTATGGTGGGGGTGGAGACTTGTAGTTGACTTTAGGAGAAGGAGAGTAGTACGGTGGTGGTGGGGAGCTGTAAACGTATGGTGGGGGTGGAGATTTGTAGTCGACCTTAGGAGACGGAGAGTAGTATGGTGGTGGTGGGGAGTTGTAAACGTATGGTGGTGGTGGAGACTTGTAGTTGACCTTTGGAGAAGGAGAGTAGTACGGTGGTGGTGGGGAGCTGTAAACGTATGGTGGGGGTGGAGACTTGTATTCTACCTTAGGAGAAGGAGAGTAGTATGGTGGAGGTGGAGAGCTGTAAACATATGGTGGGGGTGGAGACTTGTAGTTGACTTTAGGAGAAGGAGAGTAGTACGGTGGTGGTGGGGAGCTGTAAACGTATGGTGGTGGTGGAGACTTGTAGTTGACCTTAGGAGAAGGAGAGTAGTACGGTGGTGGTGGGGAGCTGTAAATATATGGTGGTGGTGGAGACTTGTAGTCGACCTTAGGAGAAGGAGAGTAGTACGGTGGTGGTGGGGAGCTGTAAACGTATGGTGGGGGTGGAGACTTGTAGTCGACCTTAGGAGAAGGAGAGTAGTACGGTGGTGGTGGAGAGCTGTAAACGTATGGTGGGGGTGGAGACTTGTAGTCGACCTTAGGAGAAGGAGCGTAGTACGGTGGTGGTGGTGAGCTGTAAACGTATGGTGGAGGTGGAGACTTGTACTCTACCTTAGGAGAAGGAGAGTAGAACGGTGGAGGTGGGGAGCTGTAAACGTATGGTGGTGGTGGAGACTTGTAGTTGACCTTAGGAGAAGGAGAGTAGTATGGTGGTGGTGGGGAGCTATAAACGTATGGTGGTGGTGGGGAGCTGTAAACGTATGGTGGAGGTGGAGACTTGTACTCTACCTTAGGAGAAGGAGAGTAGTACGGTGGTGGTGGAGAGCTGTAAACGTATGGTGGGGGTGGAGACTTGTAGTCGACTTTAGGAGAAGGAGAGTAATATGGTGGTGGTGGGGAGCTGTAAACGTATGGTGGGGGTGGAGACTTGTACTCTACCTTTGGAGAAGGAGAGTAGTATGGTGGTGGTGGGGAGCTGTAAACGTATGGTGGGGGTGGAGACTTGTAACTAACCTTAGGGGACGGAGAGTAGTACGGTGGAGGTGGAGAGCTGTAAACGTATGGTTTTGGATGTGGCGTGTACTTCGGACCTTGTCTTCTGTATTGTGGTGGAGGAGCTGGTGATGCCGAGTAGGATGGGGAATACTTTTTGGGTGGATATGGTGATTTGTGTTGATGGACCGGTGAACTGTATTCTGGTGTTGGAGGAGATGAGTATGGGTAGGCTGTAGCCGCAATGGCACTTAAGACCACGATATAAACCATGCAATGCCCTAACCCAAACATTTTTGAGGATCTCATCTTACCCATATCTACTCTTTTTAGTTATTTCTTTTGCTTATGATGATATAGTTCAACATGAAAACCCTTTATATATAGTTGCTTTTCTTAATTTGTGTATATACATTATATCATCTCCTACTTGAGTTCGTGTGTGGCACTTCCCAACATATTTAGAGATCGTGCTAAGTAGTTTTTTTGGTTTGTTAAAGAGAACGTGCTAAGTTGTTTGTTGAGAACAAAAAAGTGATTTGTGGGAAACATACATTTTTCCCCTTTTTTAATTGATTCTCTTGCAACTTACAATAATTTTAAGATGTTTTTTGTTTGGTTTGTTTGATTTATGTAAACAAAATCAATTAAAAAGAACAAAAGAAGCCTTTGATCGATGATTATTTATTTATTTAGCCACAAAATATATATGTTTCATAATGAATTAATGTGAGGAAAATAATTTTGGTAACACATATATTTACTTTTATATAACATGATGGATCCAAAGTAAGATTCTTTGAATGATAAAATAATAATAAAACTTGATTATTGTAGAAAAAAACACAATACATGAATCTTAGCGGGACATGATGCAACTAATGATCATGTTAGGAAAATAAATTTTGGGAATTAATGTAACTTCTCTAATGATCGGGCCTCTATGTCTTACGAGAAAATGTGAGAAATGTTTGAAATATGTTTTTAATCAGAAATTATCATAAAAAAAATCATTTTATTATTGTGATTGATTATACAAGAATTAAAATAATTCTTTAAAATTAAAAATATAAAGAAATTTAATAATAAGAAAAAAATAATTATAAAAGAAACTTTTTTAAATATTAGAAAGAACAAAACAAAATTGTAAAGCATTTGTATCAATAAAAATTTTAAAGAACTGAAAATTAGAAAATTCATAAATGTTTTATAGAAAAAACATAAAAACAGATAGGGTACCTAGTTTTGATTTAAAAAATACTAATATCTTTGGATTTAAAACCATATTATATATTTTGTTACTTCAAATTTAAATGTAATTAATATGTTTTGGTATAATGTTTGTATTTTCGGTACTCATTCGATTTACGGTGTAGATCCATTTTGATTCGACCCAAAATATTTGGAACAAAAATCCATAATGATACTCATGACTATTGATTTTTTTTTAAAAAAAATACACTTCTTGGGTGTATATTTTCAAAACTACACATTTGTGGTGTTAATTTTCAAACTTACACTTTTTCCAATTAGAGCTCACTAATCCCTAGTTACGGTTTTATATTTTGGGATTTAGAGTTTAGATTTAAGGGTTTAAGGTTAGATTTTAAGGTTTAAGGTTTATATTTAGAGTTTAGAGTTCTTTTACTCAATGAAAATATATAGTTTTAAAAATAAAAATCATCGAGATGTACTTTTGAAGATATACATTTAAAAAAAATATTGAAAATGTACAGCTAAAAAATGTGTAGTTTTGAAATTTGGTTATGATTATTCGATTATGTTCACTTCCTCTTTTTTCTGTTCAGCTTCATTTTGGTTTTTAAATAAGTCTCGATAGAGAATTTCTATGATGTCTAAGAGTGATTTTAAAAGTATTTTCACTTCATCATGGTTTTACACGGTAACATTTTAAACACTTTTTATAAAGGTGTATACTATAGGTATCAATATCTTCTTTTTTTGAATTATCAAGAGGTTCTACTCAATCAATGCCAGCTATACGAGACAATACCATCGGAAAAATCAAAGATTGAATGGAAAAAATCCTAAAAATAAAGAAAACGAAACCAATTAGAGAAATTTTATAAAATACACCTCTTGAGGTGCAAATTTTCAAAACTACACCTATAGTGTGGAAATTTTCAAAAATACACCTTTTCCTAATTTTAATATATATGTTTGGGTTCACTAATCCTAGATTAGAGTTTAGATTTTGAGGTTTAGGGTTTAGATTTAAGGGTTCAATGTTAGATTTTAGGGTTTTGGATTTATATTTTAGGGTTTCGAGTTCTTTTACTCCATGAAAAAGTGTAGTTTTGAAAATAAACACCATAGAGGTGTATTTTTGAAAATTGGCACCTCAAGAGGTGTAGTTTTGAAATTTCCCCAACCAATTACAGATGGGATCACAAATGTATTTTTGAACCGGAATTTCAACACTTTCAGAAATAACTCTTATATGTTGGTAACGGATCCAAATTTGAATTATTACTATTTGGGAAGATTGACAGTACAGTGAATAGGTAAAAAAACATATTTACATATTGGAAGTAATGAAAAAAAAAAAAATCTCAATATCATTTCATATATACACGTGTGTTATACTCCCCATTTCCTTGTAATCATCTTACCAAACAAAATATAACATTGTGTAAACGAGAAACAAACTTAACTTCTAAAATCATACAGTCAACAACAGGCAAAGCAAAATGCTAATCACGGCTCGACAATAATCTTACCAGTAGCATGACCATCGATACTTTTGGCCCAAGACTCCTCTGCTTTGCTCAGAGGATACTTCGAGTCAATCACAGTCTTCACTTTCCCATCTCTCAAAAGATTCACCAAAACCTCCAAATTCTCAGCTTTGGCGGTCAATAAAAGCGGAACCAATTGCTTCTTGGACATTGTTATTTTCTTAACCGCATAAGTCCACATCGCGCTAGGCCCTGGCGTGATGTCTATCACCTTCCCGTTCACGGCCAAGTTTGGCTCGAACGTCGAAAACGGTATCCCGTTCGCACAATGGACCACGGCGTCGTACTTCTTACCGGACGGACTCTTGAGTGCGGCTCCTTCGGGAGTCTTGTAGTCAAGAACCTCGTCCGCTCCTAAAGATTTGACAAAGTCCATGTTCCGAGCCCCACACGTGGCGGTCACATGAGCGTTCCCAAGCTTCGCAAGCTGGACTGCATAGTGACCAACACCACCGGATGCTGCTGTGACCAAGATGTTGGCCTGCTTGCCCGTACCGTCAAGCTTCAACCCCGCGGGGTTAGTTAGAGCCTGGAGTGCGGTTAGAGCCGCCACAGGTAACGCTGCTGCTTCAGCTGGTCCCACTTCTTGCGGCCTTTTGACGGTTAGCTTCTCGCTTGCAACGGCGAACTCAGCAAGTCCACCTCCGGCCTGCAAAATAACTAATACAGTTATAACTTGTTGACGAGGAAATGATAATGGCAATGACTTGTCTCTTAGGAAACTAAAAAAACTTACGAGAGGGGTGAGAAACGAGACAACTTTGTCACCAGCTTTGAAATTCTTGACGCCTGATCCAACCTCCACGACCTCTCCAGAGACATCAGTAGCTGTTCAAGACAAATTTCAAAGACTCCGCTATAGCTTTTAGAAAGCCTATAGATAATTTACAAGAGACGTGACAAAATCAAAAAATTCAGAAAGCCTATACTATAGTTCTTGAAGTAACAACACTATTTATGCAAGACCCATTACACCTAAGCCAATCTAAGCAAAACCATTTTTTATCCTCTTAGTAATATGGTCAATAACTTGATCATTACAACATTATCCACCATATATGCTTAATAGACTACCGAAAAGTCGAGACCTAGAAGATGATTATTCAAAACTATATATTAGAACTTACCAGGAATGTAGGGGAACTTGCGAGGCAGAAAAGGCCGGATCTTTCCTTTCTGAATTTTCCAATCAGCAGGGTTTATGCTAGTAGCTTCTAGTTTTATTAAAACCTCGTTGCTCTTCGGCGATGGAACCGGGACTTGGACGTGCTGAAAAACATATCAGAAACAAGAATTGTCAGGGATACTACACAAACAGATAATCTTGATGCCTTTCTAGAAACAAATGCACACATGAGAAAACTAATCTTCAAATAATTATCTTAATCAGTGACACCTTAAGTATGTACTTCCATTTCCACTACCCAAAAAAAAAAAAAAAGAATGTAAACGAGATGAGAGCCTGATTTTAAAAAATATGACCAATCAGGTTGATAGAAACAGAGAGACATATGGTTTTCAATCAATCAGTTCATATGCTTTTCATCTCATTGGATTTTTTTTTTTCAAAAAAATTGACCAAGTTTCTTCAAAATCATCGCTCGTGTCATATGCAAACACTAATACAAAGACATATCTTAAAATAAAAACATAAATGAAATCGAGGCTTTATCGACAAACAAGAGAATGAAATAGCAAAGCTTAAAGGAAACATGAGAACGAACAGAAATTTGTAAAGTCAATTTAACCTTCAAAGCGGCGGCGCCACCGCCGTAAGACTCGTACTGAAGAGCGTGCATGAGTTTTCCGGCCATGGCTAAACGAATTGATCGCTGATTCTAGAAAAACGCCGGAGATGGTTGTGGTTTTGTGGAGAAAGGTTGAAGGAAAGATCTGGAATAGTTGTATAAAATATCAAAAATATTATCTTAATATAATATTGGAATCTTTGAATAGAAGTGCAAGTTGTTTATTCGAGTATCAAAATGGATGCGAGAAAGATGTTTTTCAAATGGAGAGGGAGCAAACTATTTATACTCGATATTAGCGGTGGAAAATAAGTCGGCAAACATTAGAATATTGGTTAAAGGGTAAAATCCTAAGCTCATAGTTATCTTCATATTGGTGAAGAGAGGTGTATACCATGGGTATGGATGGTATTCGGCTGAACAACAATCAAAGATATGGTATTCCAAACCAGAATTTCATTGATTTCAGAAATAACTGTGTTCTATGTTTTACTGAAACACAAATGTTGAGATCCTACAGGATCCAATTTGAATTATTATTGTTTCAGAAGATTTGAGAGTACAGTGAAAGAGTAAAAGAAAAACTTATTTAGATATTGATAGAAATGAAAAAAAAATCCAAATTCTTAACAGTCATACCAAAAAAATATAAAATAAATCCAAATATCACTTCACTATATGTCATCAGTGGCAAAAAAAGTCAACTATTTCTTTTAAAATTGGTTCCTTGCTCAAGTGTATTATTTTTTTAAAGAAGACAACTATATCACTTCACTATATTTTTTTCGCTATTTCTCCTTGTAATCTTAGAATACAAAAGAAAACATTGTGTAAACGATAAACAAACTTTGAAAATCATAGACCGTCAACAACGGGTAAAACCAAATGCTATCACGGCTCGATAATAATCTTTCCAGTAGCATGACCATCGATACTTTTGGCCCAAGCTTCCTCAGCTTTGCTCAAAGGATGCTTCGAGTCAACCACAGTCTTCACTTTCCCTTCTTTCACAAGATTCACCAAAACCTCCAAACCCTCAGCTTTCGCCACAAACAAAAACGGAACCAACTGCTTCTTCGACATGGTTATCTTCTTAACCGCGTAAGTCCACATCGCTTTAGGCCCCGGCGTGATGTCTATCACCTTCCCATTCTCAGACAAATTTGGCTCGAATGTCGAAAACGGTATCCCGTTAGCGCAATGGATCACAGCGTCGTATTTCTTACCGGACGGACTCTTGAGTGCGGCTCCTTCAGGAGTCTTGTAGTCAAGAACCTCGTCGGCTCCTAAAGATTTCACAAAGTCTATGTTCCGAGCCCCACACGTGGCGGTCACATGAGCGTTCCCAAGCTTTGCAAGCTGGACCGCATAGTGACCAACCCCACCGGATGCTGCTGTGACCAAGATGTTCGCTTGCTTGCCTGTACCGTCAAGCTTCAACCCCGCGGCGTTAGTTAGAGCCTGGAGTGCGGTTAGACCAGCTACAGGCAACGCGGCAGCTTCAGCTGCTCCTACTTCTTGCGGTCTTTTGACGGTTAGCTTCTCGCTTGCAACGGCGAACTCAGCAAGTCCACCACCACCGGTCTGCAAAATATAGACAATGTAATTACTTCTGGAATTATAACCACTACAACTTTAATAGATAATGATTTGTAGATGTAAGAAAAAAACTTACGAGATGGCTAAGAATCGATAAAACTTTGTCACCAGCTTTGAAATTCTTGACTCCTGATCCCACTTCTATGACCTCTCCAGCAATATCAGTAGCTGTTCAAGACAAATATCAAAGATGCCTCCAGCTTTTTAGAAAGCCTATTGATAATATACTAGAAACATTATACGTAAACCAACTAAACCCGTCTCAATTATATTCTTAATAACTTAGCGTTACTCATTTCAATAGTATTAGAATTTGGAGGGGAATAATCAAACTGAAGGACAGGATAAGATTAAAATCTAGAAACCCTATAGTTCTTGAAGCAAGAACCACAGTTATACAAGAAACATTACACCTAAACCAATCTAATTAAGCACAAGATCCTCTCAGTAATCTGCTTAATAATTTAAACATTATCCACTATATCCTTTAAAGACGACCGAAAAGGCCTGATCATTCCTTTTCGAAAAATAAGCAAAAATATGATTAGAATACCAGGAATGCAGGGGAACTTGCGAGGATAAATAGGCCAGATCATTCCTCTCTGAATTTTATAATCAATAGGGTTGAGACTAGTAGCTTCTACTTTTAGTAAAACCTCGTTGCTCTTTGGCGATGGAACCGGAACTTCGACATGCTGAAAAAGATATGCACTCATGAGAAACAAGAATATCACAAACAATATAAAGAACAGATAATATGGCATTTAAATCAGAAACAAATGCACACATGAGAAACAAGAATATCACAAACACTATAAAGAACAGATAATCTGTCATCTAAATCAGAACCAAATACACACATGAGAAAACCATCTACAGATCATAATCTTAGTCAGTGACACTTTAAGGTGCACACCTGTTTCCACAACCAAAAAAAAAAAGAGTAATAATATTATCTAACATATACCAACAAAACCTAATTCATCCACTTCAACAACAATGTTCTTTGTCACTTTATGCCCTTTCCATAGATTCCCAGAACAAAGAGATCAAAGCTAAAAAGTTAAAGAGCACTTAGTTGTTATAGAAGCATCCATCATTCACAATACAAAGGAGGAGATAATGTGTTCAATGCAAATCCAATTAGGGTTGATAAAAACAGAGAAATCATCGATTTTATTTCTCAATTAATTTGCCTGTTCATATGCTTTTCGTATCACTGGTTTCTTTTTAAAAATGAAACAACATACAAAACCATCGCTCGTATGCACACACTTATATATATTACGAGTAAAACAAATGAAATCAAGAGAAACGGAACTTTAAAAACATAAGAATACAAAAAGGTATCGACAAACAAGAGAATCAATCAAATAGCAATAAGACAAGCAGCTCAGACTCAGAGGAGTACAAGGGACAAACGGACCTTCAAAGCGGAGGCGCCTCCGCCGTAAGAATCGTATTGAAGAGCGTGCATCAGTTTCCCGGCCATTTTGAAAGAAGGAAATCTCTAAATCTCGAAAATCGCCAGAGGACGTGGTTTTTGTTTTGTAGAGAAAAAGGTTAAGAACTTATAAGTTATAACCATACTTCTTCGGTTAACCTGGAGAAGGCTGAAGAGAATTAATTAGGCATAAAATCGGTAATAAACTAGAAATGGTTGTAATATTGCCACGTCACCTTCTCTGGTACATTCGGAAGAGGTGCGAACTGGTGACATGTATCACGTCACGAGTCACGACCAGGTGAATAGTATTTAGGCGTTGATTGTTTGTTGTAGTAGCTTCTATAAAAGGGTTTTGGTTTTTGTTCAAGTCAAGATTTTTGACAAATAAAATTCCTAAAACTGATGGAAACTAGATTTTGAAAAAAAAAAAAAAAAACTACCTATTTCTAGACAAAACCATGTGTTTGTTGATTTTTGCCTAATTATAAAAACTATTTTTTACTCTTTAAAAAGATATTGCTACTTTTAGACATCCAATGCGGTTAGTCTGGTTCAGTTGAAATGTGTTGATCCGGATTAACCTTACACTCTACTCAAGTTTCTCTCCAACTATAAGAGTTAACAAGAGTTTTGTTGATGGTTTGAACTTGTGATCAGAACTAACCACACCAAGCTAATTCTGCTTCAATTTCAATTTCTTTGTATTCCGTCGTCAGTCAACCTCACTTAACTTGTTTGTTGATTTCTTTCAACATAGCTTTTAATTAGATCTCGTCCCCATTTTCATCACCATTAACAAAACTTCACAAAACCATTCCACAAAGAACATCAAAAATTGTTTGCCTTTTTCCAAACTTGATTAATTAAATACCAAAGTCGTCCAATAGTTTCAAAGACCAAAAGATTAATTCAAACTGCAGTGGCTAAAGTATGAATTAGACAACAAACTGAAAACAGAATACCACCAAACTTGAAAAAAAACAAAAAAAAAAGAGCCAAGTCCACTACCAAAGTGATACACAAGTAATCAAGCGGTGAGATTACCTTTAATCACATGCATACGCAGAGCCATGTCTTTCTTGTCCCACACAGTATCACCAAACACTGCTCCAACATGATCGCTGATAATGCATTCGCCACGTCCTCCCTCTCTGAATGAACATCCTTTGAACTCCATCTGACTAAGACTCAACACGTTTCTGCTGATCTGCGGAACAAAAAGCACATTCTCGATCGTCGTCTTCTTCTTCCCATCCTTCATCACAATCTTCACATCTCCTTTTCCTTCAACCATCATAACGTTTCCATCGGCCAATCCAACCATGGCTTTGTGTCTCCGGTCTAGATCCGTGAAAACATTCTCATATGGAGTCATATGGATCGTGGCATGGCCTGAAACCATCCACAAGTCCTCATCATAAGTGAGATCACTTTTACTAAACGGTGCAGCCATAACATACTCAACTACGATCTCATCTTCTTCCTCAGCTTCTTCTCTCCCCGCTGGACGTTGCTCCTTACCTTCAATCACCTTCAAACGCAGAGCTGGTCCTCTCTCGTCCCACACAGTATCACCAAACACTGCCCCAGTCCGGTCGTGGAAACTAGGTTCCATTGTCACTTCATAGCCTCTGGCTATCATCTGATCAAGACTCAGCACGTTCCTGTTGAGCTCGGGAACGAAAAGCACGTTGTTAAACGTCTTCTTCTTCCCTTCCTTCATCATGATCTTCACATCTCCTCTTCCTTCAACCTTGAGAAATTTCCCACCCACCAAACCAACCTTACCTTTGTGTGTTCTGTCTAAAGTGGTGAAATACTTCTCATGTGGAGTCATATGGTTGGTGGTGCTCTTGGCGTAGATCATCCACATGTCCTCATCAAAAGTGAATTCACCATAACTTTCCTCCACTAACATTAGGTAATCAACATTCGCTGCCGCCATTGAAATGAGCCCGTAACCGTTAGGGTTTCTTTGGATTTTTGTTCTTGGAGAAAGCGAATGGAATTCACTTACTCGAACATTTGCCATATATATAGACAACACGGTAAACCCTAAATTGCAATTTGAAGTAATGACCGGGCAGACGTTTCGATTGCAAGCTACGGTTTTGGTTTTGTTTACTGCAATTAATCCATGGGACCACGTACGTATTTAATCCGTGGTTAGAAGATCACACACTAATTCATAGTGGTAGCAGTAGATGAATGAGCTATTCTTTTGAAAATCCAATGTGGTTAAGATAAGACCTGTCAAATATTATAGAAAGGTTATATTATTGAGGTGTGTTTGATATACAAGCATAAGACTCATATATATAGGGTTTAATAATGTAAATGTTCCTAATCCTTATCACAATAGAATTTCTATAGAATATTCTTCGATTTAGTTTTACGGGCTTCACTTCACAAACGAGCTTTGATAGCCCATGATATTTGGTTACCCTTGCTCACAAGACCATCTTTATTTTTGCCTAACTAATAGAGTAATGTTTCTCTCCAATATATTTTGACTCTAAAAATGAATACTCTAATATATTATAAATCCAATTCTATTGCAAAAACCTTTATTTATAAGGAGTTATTACAAGATAACGATTGATCTAAAAGACAGAATATACAGATACGCAGGTAAAAAAACCTAGTGAATCTGAATTTCACTTGCCTCTAATGGAAAAAATACATTATATTGACATAATAATGTAGATAGGCTTATGTAATTAACAAGGCCTCTAATTTAAGTCCAAAGAGTTCCTCTTAAAATTCTATTGGGTAATAATACAAATCTAGGCCCATAAATAAGAAACCCTAAAATTGTAAGAGACTCTTTCTTTATTGTAAGCTTCGACACCGCGGCGATAGAACATCCCGGACGCTGCAATGGTTACTTCCGATTCCTCCATCTCTGCCATCTCCGTTTCTCAACCTATCTCTTGTAACGCTGAGATCAATTTCGTCGTGAATTTTTGCAGGGTATTGATCTAATCGCTGGAGGTAAGAGCAAGAAGACCAAAAGAACAGCTCCCAAGTCCGACGATGTCTACCTCAAGCTCACCGTCAAGGTCAATATTTTAAACAACAATCTTTTTTCTCGCTTGAAGATGTTCTTTTTCAATAGTATGAGATTATCGATTTTTGTCTATTTGAAAATTTTGCAGCTTTACCGGTTTCTGGTGAGGAGGACACAGAGCAAGTTCAATGCAGTGATATTGAAGAGGCTGTTCATGAGCAAAGTCAACAAAGCTCCTCTCTCTCTATCTAGACTCGTCGAGTTCATGACCGGCAAGGTTCCATTTCCTTTAAACCCTCTCTCTCTCTCACTGTACACTAAACTTAGTCTCTCTGTGTTGGTTAATTGAAATGTGTTTTGGTATGTCATAGGAAGATAAGATTGCTGTTTTGGTTGGAACTATCACCGACGATTTGAGAGTACACGAGATTCCAGCGATCAAAGTTACAGCGTTGAGGTTCACGGAGAGAGCAAGAGCTCGTATTGAAAAAGCTGGTGGTGAGTGCTTGACATTTGATCAGCTCGCTCTCAGAGCTCCATTGGGCCAAAACACGGTAATTTCTTCTTCTTAACCGAAACCGAAACCGAAACCGCTCTTCTTCGTTCTTCAAAAATGTGTAAACTTTGCTTGGTTCTTCTTGTGTGTTGTTGTGTAGGTTCTTCTCAGAGGACCAAAGAACTCACGTGAAGCTGTGAAGCATTTCGGTCCTGCACCGGGTGTGCCAGGCAGTCACTCAAAGCCGTATGTTCGGTCCACGGGAAGGAAGTTCGAGAAAGCCAGAGGAAGGAGGAAGAGTCGTGGTTTCAAGGTTTAATGACATTGTCAACGTCTTTGAGTCGTTGGTTCTCGAGTATTCTTGCTTTTGTAATCGTGTTTTTTTTTTTTTTGTTCTTTCGTTGAGAATTGAAGGTTTATCATTGGCCTGTTTCAGACATGAGTTTAAGTTTGTTTCGACTGGATTCATTGTGTGCTTATTACACATTGAGCTTTACTATGTTTAACATGATCCATATTCATTCGTCTAAAGTGTAAAGATTCTGATCACAAAACCCAAATTACTTTTGACCAAGATTGTTTTTTTTTTTTTTTTTGAACAGCTTTTTAATTAATTGCTTCTAAATCGGGTTACAGACCAAGATTGTTCTTACTTTAAAATTTTTTATGGTTTCTGTAATTGGGTTGCTTCTAGTCGTTGTATAATAGAGAAAATAATACTGATTAATGTAAATGGCACCAATAGCAGAAAATCAGAGCTGTTGTTTAATCACAAAACCAATAGCACTTACATGCTCATTAGGGAATGAGTTTCCAAAAGAAACATTTTGGAGTGATAAACATAAATAGTTTAGATCCATGGACTGTCAGAAGTCGAGAATAACCAGCCATAACTGTAAATAAGTAAAGGTAAAAAGAGAATTTAATTTGCCTTGCCTTTATTATATTCAAGTCTTCACCGGCAAGGAAGCAAAAATCAAAACAAGTAAACCTTTCCAAAAGCGAAACCTTTCCTTTATATAAAGCCTTACTCACGAAAACCCAACAACCAGAATTAAAAGAGACATAAATAAACTCTGCTTATCATCCCAGCGATGAGCGATTCCAACCTCCCACCACCGGAAAACACAATTCCGACTCTCAACTTCGACGGCCTCGAAGTTTTCTCAGCGCTAGGTCGTGGCTCTAAAGGAGTTGTATTCTTAGTGAGATCCGATGACGTTTCCAGCAAATGGCTTGCTTTAAAAGTCATACTCAAGGAATCATCAATCGAGAAGAACAAGAACAAGCGCGTGAGTTTTGAACAAGGAGTCTTGTCTCGATTTGACCATCCTCTGTTTCCTCGTCTCCATGGAGTTTTATCGACTGATAAAGTTGTCGGTTACGCGATCGATTACTGTCCTGGTCGAGATCTCAGTTCTTTGAGGAAGAAACAATCGGAAGGAATGTTCTCCGACGAGATCATAAGGTTTTAATACTAAAATTAGATGTTTAAAAATTTCTCCTTTCGAGTTTGAATTTCAATTTCAAAATTTAAAG